CCGAAAAGAGAGAAGGTACCCTATTGTTGCTGTGTACCATCAAGTCAGAACTGACACATAGCTGACCCTCCTTCGGTTTTTCAGAGGCAGTTAATCACGTGGGAGGAGATTGACCATCTTTGTCCCAAGGAGCAGTAGGTAGCCTTGAATCACACGCCTTTGGGATAGCAGCTCAGCTTCTTATCACTAGGCCACCAGAGCTCCATGAGAAAATACCCTAGTACAAAACAGAGTAGTTGAGTGAACCTGACTTGGAATCTCTGATCTAAACTCTCAAGGGAGCATAGTCCTTAGCGAGTTTTGTTGCAAGCCCAAACACTATGCATATTCAGCAGTTTGAATACGCTGTTCCTCCCATTACAGTTAATGCCTTCAGAAACTGATGAAGGATCACTGTGAGTGGGAACAGTACATTTTGAGTAAACTGACTCCCCATGTGACAAATAGATGTGGTTTTTACCAGGACTAGAGCTCTCTTTCTCAGGGAGAAGGTTGTCGGTCATGTTTTGTACTGTGCAGGCCGAACTGACTCAGAGCTGACCTTCCAGTGGCTATTCAGAAACAGTCTAACAGGAGGAGATTGCCCACCTTTGGACAAATCACACAGGAGGAGATTGCTCATTGTTCTCTCACAGGGCAGCTAGTGGCCTCGAACCACAGTTCTTTGGATTTGCAGTACAACTCCTTACCACTGAACCACCAGAACTCTCTCAGGGAGAAGGTTGCTGTTGTTGTTGTTAGGTACCATTGAGTAGGAACCGACTCCATAGCTAACCCTTCGGTGGATATTCAGAGACAGTCTCATGGGAGGAAATTGCCCATCTTTCTTCTGTAGATCTAGTGGATTCAAACCCTGTGCCTTTGGGTTGGCAGTACAGCCCCTTACCACTAGGACACCAGAGCTCCTTCATGGAGAAGGGAGGTGGTAGTAAAGAAAAAAGGGTGCCAGCTTCAGGTCTGAATCAGCCACCTCCCTTCCATAGCCAACACTTCTTCAATGGGATGGGGCTGATGAGTCTATCAATAGTGCAGGCTTGTCAGCAGAAAGATCAGTGTTTACTCTGGCATAGCTTCTCTAAGGAACCCTGGGGCACTCAACTGCTAACCGAAAGGAAAGGTTGATGGTTTGAACCTATCCAGTGGCTTCACAGGAAAAAAGAGCTAACAGTCTGCTCCCATAAAGATTAACTTCCTAGCCAAAACTCACTGCTGTCAAGGCTATTCCAACCTGTGGTCGCATTATAGTAGGTTTCTGAGGCTGAAAATTTTATGGACAGAGATTACTCATCTTTGTCAAACAGAATAACTAGTAGATTTGAACTCATAATCTTTTGGTTATGAGCACAACACATAACACACTATGCCACCAGGGCTCCTTCCCATAGATTGTTGTCATATATGGTCAAGTTGGAACCAACCATAACTGATCCTCCAAATGGTTTTCAGAGGCTGTAAATCTCATGGGAGGAGATTATCCATCTGTCGCCCACCTCATAAAGATTAAAGTCTAGAAAATCCCATGAAAGCTGCAGAGCAGTTCTACTCTGTCACATAGGATCAATTTAAGTCAAAAAACAACTCAGTGGGTCTCAGCAACAGTATACCTACCACGTCTTTCCCTCTGTTCTAAACACATTAGAAGTCCCTTTTCATCACCTATGTTTCCATGTCTTCAGTTATTTCCATGATATTCCCTGTAGAATTCTAGTCAGTTCCACCCTATTTGGTCCAGTGCCAATCATAGCTAGACAGGGCATTCAGTGTCAAAACAGGCTGGAGGGTGATGATCAGTTTAGCAGAAGATTCATACTACTTTAAATAATGAATATCAGTGACTCATTTCAAGTAGGATTTGTTTTATAAAATCTCCATTAAGTTGTAAGCATTTCTAGAATGTGTCCATTGTGCCAGTCAAGTCCAATCAAAGCAGGACACCCAGGCTCTGAATTCTGTTGAGAGCATCATAGTAGTAATAATGTTGTATAAAGCTACTCGTGTTTTCTCCACAAGGAAACAGAAGCTTGCAATGTGCACATGGCACCCATGGCTTAATGGTAAGCAGTTGTGCTGCCCACTGCATGGCACATGGTTCAAATCTACCTGCTGCTTTACTGGAGAAAGGTGGGCCATCTCTTCTTGTGCATTTATTGCCTCTGAAAACCTCCTAGAGGTTCAGCTGTGAGTCAGTTCTGATTCAAAAGTATACAACAATGGTCTATGGACACTTGGAGAATTAGTTGTGGAAGTTGTAATACCTATGCCTTTAGATTCCTAGAGTCAAGAGTTGGGTGTACCTGATCCTGGTTGTTGCCTCCTGGGTCTTGTTTGCTGGCCCATTAAGCTTGGCTCCAAATGCCCATCTCAGCCTATGCCATATCTTAATTTACTGCTTGGCCTTGTCGGTTTAGCAGTGTTATTCTCTGCTGTATTCTGAAGTACTTAGAAAATCACCTTGCTCAAGGAACTCGGGAAGCCCTGGTGGTTCACTGGTACCACCTGATAATAAAAAAGTCAGCGGTTTGAACCTACCAGCTGCTTCGAATAAGACCCAGAAATCTGCCCTGGGAGAGATTAGAGCTTAGGAAAGCCTATTGCACAGTTATTCTCTGTCCTATAACCTTGTTCTGCATAGGAATTGACTCAGTGGCACAAAACAGCAAGAACTTAATGTTTACTAAGTAAATGTTTGTTGAATGAATGAATTGTCCCCGGGGAAATTGCACATATAAAGAGAAGGAGTTAGTTACAGTGGTATTGACAACTTGTGAGGTTTCATAGGATGTATTTTCCTTTCCATAATTACCAAGCCACACCTGAGGGGGCTGATGTATAAAGGACCTTGAAGGTTTGATGAGTGGAAGGTTAGGCCTGTGGAAGTACTGTCAGGGAGAATAGACTTAGTAAGTTGGTTGACATGATTAGCATGTGACCTTATATGTCCTGGGGAGAAGAAGTAGCCCCAATACAGTAGAGGTAGAAGATACTGGGGCAAAAATGTAATTTTTATAATACACAAGTCTTGCCCCTCCATGAAATTTTGCAATATCTACAGACATTTTTGTTATACTGTTTGAAGGCTGCTGTTGGCATCTAGGAGAGGAACCAAAGATGCTGGTAAACATCCTTCAGTGCACAGGACAGCACCCCCACAGTGAAGGATAATCCAGTCTAAGATGTCAGCAGTACCAAGGTTGATAAATCCTAGAAATACCACCAAGAGCTAGAATTACTGAATAATTCATAATTCATACGGGGGGATTTTAAAAGTGAAATGAGTACTGTAATTAAGTATTCTAAGGCAGTGGGCATAACCTGAACCAAATTGGGCAAACCATGACCTTTCATCACATTCTCGAGAATCCTTGGGTGAGAAAGAGCGTACTCGAGTTGTGCAAGACAAGAGGCGATAGAAGCAGAGCTATGGTTAAGGGATGGCATTGTTGGCATGCAGGATGGATGGGAGAACACACTAGACCAAACGAGTTCTTCACAGTTGGATGGTTTACTTTCCTGAGCTAGAGAAGATGGTAGTCCAGGGAAGTTGGACTTTTACAGAGCTGCTGCAGGGTCACCAAGGTTAGACTGTTACTCCCAAATTAACTACCATCTCCAAATTATATATAAACAGTAATTGGTATTTGTTTGTTAGAAATGGCTCTTTTTGTAAATGAAATCTACCAAATTGGGGTTCATGTTCAGATGTTAATGCTAAAGCTCTCTCATTCAACTTTTTGTTTAGGTCAAAGATAGTTAATAGATTTCATGTTCCTTGTATATCTGATGGACTGTAACCATTTAGAATGGCAGATGGAGGTATAAGACCCCCTCTCTGGTTAAGTGGAAAAAAAAGTAGGGTGACTGATTGGCAATGTCTTCCACAGGACCCCTGAAAGTAAACTGAGGGGGCTGGTAGAACACACTGTGCTATTCTTTTGTAGGGCTCAGTTTTTTGTGTTTTTTTTTTTTTTCGTTCTCCTCAGAGTCATGGGCTAAAATGTATGTGAGCTCTGAGTCAAACAGCCTCTAATGTGTTTCCTAGCTGTGCCCATTGCTGTGCTGGGCAGGGCCTCAAGCCAGTTCAGTCATGGACAGCAAAGCAAAATGGGAACAGACACAAGTTTTTACTAGTTGAGTGAAGCAGAACCATAACCAGAATGAGAAAAATTACAAGTTAAAGCTTAGAATGAGAGACCCAGAAGAGAGGTAGTGGGCCCTGGCAGGAACCTGATGCAGGAGATTCAATTACTGCCAGGCCTATAAAGAGTGATGCACATTCAAGCAATGGAGTTAGGTGCCATTTTTGAGCCTCAACCATAGTTTCTGATTCTGTCAAGAGATTTGGTTGCTATGCAGTGACTGCACATGGCACCTCTGTTTTGTAAGCATACGATGTACATTTCTAGTAGGTATTGACCCATCATTTTTCAACATTTCTGAGTATCTTTCCAGTATACTCATATTTTTATAAATTTGAGTTGTTTGGTGTCTGCCATGACTTAACTAAAGAATCTATTCAAAGTTCTGATGCTACTGTGGGGGATAATGAAGACCTAGAAGACGTAGCCCCCCAGCCTCCAGTAACATGGCATTTTTCTGGGTGAATCAGAGTCTCATAACTAATACCATGGAGAACTAAAAAAAAAAGGGGAGGGGGAGGAAGCCCTAGTTGGTCAACAAGTTGACTGCTAACTCACAGGCAGACTGTTCAAATCCACCAGCTACTCCACAGGCGAAAGATGGGCAATTTCCTTCTGTGCCATTTACCGGAGGACAGTGAATTAAAATTGTAAGGAGTGTTCCCTGCAAGGATGGAGGTTCTGTGCTATGGACACCACACAGAGAAAAGAGGAACTTGAACAGAGAGATAGAGGGAGGAGGAAAGAAGAGAGTTTAGGGAATGGTTTTGGGGACAGAATGAACACTATGAGGCCTTGGGGGAGCAAGGCAAAGTTATAGAGCCCACTATATCTCAACTGATGTCTCTTTGCTGTATCTTCCAGGCCGTGAGATGGTGGGGTCCACACTGCCTGGATACCCACCCCACATCCCTACCAACGGACAGGGCACCTATGCCTCTTCTGCCATCGCAGGCATGGTGGCAGGTAAGAGGAGGGACTGGACAGCCGTGGGCAGGGTAGGAAGGCAATGGAAAGAGGAAGTGCTGGAGAAGGTAGAGCAGGAAAGGAGGAACTTGGGGCATACCTCATTCTTGTACTTCTGGAAGGAGCAAGCGGTGCACCTTATAAATAATCGGAGAAAAAGGCCTCAGTGCTGTCCGGCTCCTCACCGCTCCCCAGCCCAGGAAAAGAGAAGGCCTGGATTCAGACAGGACTCTTTCAATGATACAGTGAGCATTGCTGGAGAGCTGTTTAGAGCCAGCAAAACAACTGTCAGCCAAATACAAACCCACCCTTAAACAGTCTATCCTCTCTCCTTTAACTTAGGCCTCAGTGCACACGTTCTATAAAACATAAATGTTAACATGATAATGATTAAAATCCATTGTCACCTCACACTCACTCAGCCCTGAATGGGGAGAATCCAGGTTCTAGAGTGTGAGATGAAGGAGGAGAATTTCTTCATTTTTGTTTGGACAGTCCTGAAATTTTGCCCATTGTTTTAGGTTTGTTTGCTGTCATGTTCACCTGCCATAAGCACTCAGAATATTAAAGTCTGAGAAGAACAAGGAGATTTTTCTAAGGATGAACCCTGGTCTTTCAAAAACCATAGAGGAAAGATTCAGGTGTGGGGAGGGTAGACAGTTTCCACTGCTCAGAGAGGCCTGGGACTCAGGGCATCCTGAGCCGCTAGCCCTGCCTGGGTCAGCCTCCCTGGCACTGACCCAAAGAAGTAGCACATTCACTCAGGGCTGAGCCCTCCCTCTTTCTCAGGGTTAATCTTTGCCAGCCACCCACCCTGTGCTGAGGCAGGTGGGCCAGCTTCTCTGGGCAGAAGGAGGGGAGGGGGAGAGAGGGCGGGAAGAAGGCTGTGAGCGCTCCCTGGGAACCTGCTGAGCTAGCCCTTGTTGCTGCCCTGTTACCGTGGAGATGTGCTTAATGCAGTGTTGAAAATACAGAATACCGACTCCTCTCACTCTCCTGGCCCGGCGCCCCCTCCCTCCCTCCCTCTTCTGGAGCGTGAAATGAGATTGGTCAAGATAAAAAAGGAAAAGATTCGGTTATTTTTTTAAGAGTGTGGATAATGGGTCCTCTCAATCAAAATCACAGGCTTCGGTCGCTCCCCCATCCCCCTCCCAACCTCTCCACCTTCCCCTGCCTTCTGCTCAGAAGAAGAGGAAGAAGCATAAAACACTTAGCTTTTCTCTTAATTATGAAGCATGCTCAGGACTAGGGGCTGCTGGACCTCAGAGTCTGACATGTGAGGTGCCTTGAAGACCTGGACCTCTTAACAAAGGCACCTAGGTTGTAGCCAGAAATACCTCAGATTTAGTGGGTGCTGTGCAAAAATAAAATAGCATAGCTACCTTCCAGAAAGGTAGAATTGGCTTCCAATAAGTCACAAGTCCCTTCATTCTCAGAAAATGCAGTGCTAGTTAAATACATCACCTGGTTCCTTGGAGTTCTATTTGTAAGTGGATTCTTTTGGGATTTTTTGGTAGAAAAAAATATTTGTCCATCTGTTACAACTTCCTGGGACCTGTCAGTTGACAGAACAGCAGTACCTTCCATTAAAATCAATAAACATTCATTGGAGACCGTTTTCTGTCCCCCAACCATGGCCAGCACTGGCTATGGAGTCAGCATGGACTCATGATCACCTCATGCACGTCAGAATATAATAGTGCTCCATAGGGTCTTCAAGGACTTCTTTTTGTCAGATATAGTTTGCCATGCTTTTCTCATGTAGTACCTGCGGGAAGATTGACTCAGACTCCTTTCAGTTAGCAGCTGAGCTCATTAAACGCTTGCACCAACTAGGGGCTCTGCCTTGTGTTAGGTATATAGTAAATACTCAAAGAGAAGCATGTCAGTGTCGTTCTCCAGGCAATCGGAGAAAGGAGGAAGCATTAATTTACTATGCACATCTGTATATTCAGTCATTCAGTCTGACCATTCATGTGTGTAACTTTTATTTTCCATTGAATCCTCACCATAAGCCCAGGAAGTTGATATTATTCGGTTCTACAGGTAAAGAAGCTAAGGCTTGAAAAGGAGAAGTGTATACAGAGACATAATCATATTAAGCGGCCAATGTTCAAGCACAAGTCTTTTGATTTCAAATTTTGGGTTCTTGCCACTGTACACAATGACCACCATCATACTGGAAATAAAGATGCAAGTCGTAAGAGAGAGGCCTAAGAACAAGGTCAAAATACAGCTTTCATTTGTATACTTTCTATTTTATCTTCTTTTTTGTTGTTATTCCTGCCCCATTAACAGAGTTAATGATTCTCAACCAAATTCTAAAGCTGAATCACTACTCATCCATCTATCTGTCTTTCAATTCTTTAACCTATTATCTTTCATATATTTTAATACATTAGCATGTCTTTCTGTCTCTCCATCCATCTTTTCATCCTTCCTTTTGTCCATACATCTTTCCATAATCCCTCTTTCCATCTGCTTCAAGTTTCTGGTGTTTCAAATCAGTGTAGAAACCAGTGGCTTCTAGGAAGAAAGATGGGCAACTTCCTCCCATGCAATTTACAGCCTCAGAAACCCAGTGGAGGATTTTCTGTGAGTTGGAACCGACCCCACAGCAGGGAGTTATCCTTCAGTCTGCCTTTCCATCATCTCATTTTAAATTAACATTGATTGTATATCTGTGTGAGATGCTAGAGATACAACAGAGAACAAGACAGGTTCTTCCCTTCATGGAGCTTACAGTCTAACAAGGGGAGCTCTGGTGACCTAGAGTAAGAAGATGCTTTGCAATCCCAAAAGCACGAATTTCAAATTACCAGTTGCTCCACAAGAGAAAGGTGACAGACCTTTGTGATTTTTTGGGGGGAAGACCCTTGTGATTTACTGCCTATGAAAACCCACTAGAAGGTCAGTCGGTTTGGGCTCCACTTGATGGCACACAACAACAAATCTCATAGAAGAGAAAAATGGACAGTAAATAAACAGGATGTGTTCAGATAATGATAAACACTGTGAATAAAGCAAAATGGTATTATGTGATGAAGAGCCTTAGGGAGAGAAGATCACTAGATTGGGTGATGAGGAGAGGTCTCTCTGAAGTGTCCAAAGTGATCAATCAAGTGATAAACTGGGGCAGATCATCCTGGCCAGAAAGAACGGCAGGTGCAAAAGCCCTAAGGTAGCAACTAATTGAGCATGGTGACACCCAGAAGAAAGGTGAGTCAGCTCAGAGAATAGTGATTGAAAGTTAATAGCTCTACAGAGTGAGGAGTTGTTGATAGTGACTGGGTCATGTTTTAAAAACATTAATCAGTTTGTTAGAAAAATGAACTGAATAGAATCAAGACAAGAAACCTAAACACCAGTTGGAAGGCAGTTGCAATCATTGATGCAAGAGGTGACAGTGACTTGAACTTGGACGGTAGAGCCAATAAGACTTGCTGGTGAATCAGCTGTAAGGATAAGAGCAGAAACCAGTATGACTCTTTGGTTTTGTGTGTGAGAAACTATGTGGATGGTGGTAGGTGACTAGAAGAGGAAGAGGTTGAGCAAGTAGGGGACTGGAAATCAAGAAAAATGCAACTAGGGTGCTTCATAGAGGCAAGGGCTGTGGAGCATCATCTCACATATTTTGGGCCTGTTGTTAGAAGGTGGTAGTTCTTGGAAAAAGGCATCATACTGGAAAGGTGGAGGGTCAGTGAAGGAGAAGAAGACCTTTAACAAGATGGATCAACATTGTGACTGTAAGGTTCCAGACTAATGGGTTCCATTGTATCAGAGATGATAAGGATGGTACGGACAGGGAAAGGTTCAGAGCCATTGTTCATAGGATTGCTATGAGTCACAGTTGAGTCGAAAGCACCTAACAACAACAATAACATCATCATGGAATTAAGATGCCCACTAGATACCCAATGAAATAAGTCAGTAAACCTATAACCATGCCTGAGTAGAGGAAGGAATCTTGGTTAAAGGTGTACATTTCAGCCACTGCACATAGGTTATTATTTAATGCCAGAGTACCACAGAGAGAATGGGAATAGAATATCATACACTAGAAATTTCACACACCAGAAATCCCCCTGGTGTTCTTCAAGATTTTGAGGTCTAACAGAGAGGAAGTCAACAAAGAAACCTGGGCAGGAGTCCCATGAGATACAAAGTAAGTCCCTGCATGAAGGCCAGAAACTTAGAAGTAGTGGTGAGCTGAAATCAGGAGGTTAAGTGAATGGCGTAGAACTGATTAAAGAATGGCTGGACTAGAGATGGCAGGAATTTTTGCAGGGTTCACTATAGACCTGGGGAGGATATGAGAAGGTACAGAAAGAGATGGTGGAGCAGAGAAATGAGTCGGTAGCAGGAGGAGGACTTAGGGGCGTGAAATGATTTTTCAAAAGATGCAGGATACCAGAACATGTTTACAAAAGGAATATTGCAAGGAGGGACCAGTCCTTGGAGAGGGACATCATGCTTGGAAGAGTGGAGGAACAGAGAAAGAGGGAGACCATCAATGAGATGGACAGACAGTGACTGGGGTAATGAGAGTAGGTGTGTCAGAGACAGTGAAGTTGGCACAGGATAGAGAAGGTTTCAGGGCTGTTGTCACAAGTGACTCTAGGCACATAACAACAACAACAAACAAACAAAGGAGAGATTAGCGAAGCAAAAAAGAGGAGTAATCTTAGGGAGCACGACCTTGGGAGGGTAAGTGAGGTGGGATGCAGAGTAAAGAGGGAATGTTGGCCTTTTTTAGGGTCAGAGACATTTCCTGTGTAAATGCTGAGTAAATGCTGACTCTCCCCTAACTTCCCTATGACTGAGGCAGCTAGGTAATCAGTGTGTTAAGTTATGAATAAGAGATGAATGAGTGGGAAAATGAGAGCACAAACATATTTTTCGACCCCTTTCCCATAATCCTTGAGCTGGCAGTATTTGGTAAAACCATAGGGGATCCTTGCTAAGTAGCCAGTGTGGTAAGGAATGGTTTCTTCCACACGCTCGTTGAAACCACGGAACCCTGGGGTACACCACAGTGAACAGCAGGTGAGTCATGGGATACAGAAGAGAGCACTGGAGCAGGATTAGGAGGCTAGGGTCCTAGTTCAGCTTTCGTTGCCCTTTTGGCAAATCTCTTCCTCTGCCAGATTATCAGCTTCTTAATTTCTAAAATGAATGGTCGGGTTAGCACAACTCTTAGTTTTCCTTCTTTGAATTTTTCTGTGTTAGATAATAGCCCCTCTCCTCTAGAACGTACTACCTCACTGACTCCTTAGAAATGGAATGATCTGGCGGTCTTCCTCTGTTTCCTGCTTCTTCTCCTCCTCTGGAAAAGAATTCCTTCAACAAGATGATGGTTGGCTGGATGACAGATCTGAGCCTCTGCTGGGCTTTCTATTAGCACCTGATCAATGTGAAAGTAATGAAAGTCAACCTGCCTATATGCAGAGCAGATTATCCGAGAGGCTGGGCTCTATGAGGAGAAGTGTGGCGTCAGAATTGGTGGAAGATCTATTAACAGTATGGCCTGAGGCTCAATGTCAAGAAGACAAAGATTCTCACCACTGGACCAATTGGTAGCATCAGGATGGATGGCGAAGAGATTGAGATTGTTCACAGCTTCAGTTTGCTCAGCTCCACGGTCAATACCCTTTGGCACCAGCAGCCAGGAAATCAAAAAACGTGATGGGAAAGTCTGCTGTTAGGGACCTCTCTAAAGTACTGAAGAGAAATGGTGTCTCTCTGGAGACTAAGGTGTGCCTGATACAGGCCATGGTCTGCAATCACTTGTTATGCATCAGAGAGTTGGACAATGACTAGGGAGGATAGAAGGAGAATTGATGCCTTTGAGCTGTGGTGCTGGAGAAGAGTATTGAATGTACCCTGGACTGCCAAGAAAACAAACAGATTCATCCTGGAAGAGGGTTAAACCAGGCTACTCCTTGGAGGCAAGGATTCTGGGGCTTCATCTGACATACTTTGGACATGTTGTAAGGAGAGACAGGTCCTTGGAGAGGGACATCATGCTTGGTAGGGTGGAGGGACAGTGTAGGAGGGGAAGACCCTCTATGAGGTGGATTGATTCAGTGACTGGGGTAATCGGGATGGGTGTGTCGGAGGCAGCGATTGGCACAGGATAGAGTAGGCTTTAGGGCTGTTGTACATAGGGTCACTATGAGTCGCAAATGACTCGACGGCACATAACAACAACAACAACAAATTTATTGAGTGCTGACAGTATGCTGTGTCCAGTCATAGCTGACCCTCCAGTGGGTTTTAGAAGCACTAAATCACAGGGAGGAGACTGCTCATCTTTCTCCCTTAGAGTAGCTGGTGGGTTTGACCCAATTGCCTTCAGGTTGGCAGTACAACTCGTTACCACTGAGCCACCAGAGCTCGCTCAACAACACTGTATGCGTAGGGAGCTCTGGTAGCCTAGTGGCAAGGGTTACATTGCCAACCCAGAAGCATGTGTGTGAGTCTACCAGCTGCCTCTCAGGAAGAAGATGGGCAGCCTTCTCCCATGTGCTTTGTAGTCTCTGCATATCCACTGGGTGGTCACCTGTGTGTCAGTTCTGACTTGATGGCACATAACAATTATATGTACTTAATAGTATTTATCTCATTTAATCTTTGCTACAATCAGTAAAACAAGGACAGTAACTGAGCTAATTTTTCAAAGCAACAGGTCAAGGCCAAGAGAGGTTAAATGTCCACAGCTAAGAAGTGGGGAATGGGGATTAGATTTTCTGCTGGCAGTCCAGCTCCAGAACAGTAGGGGTTTAAGGCTTCCCAACAGAGTCTGAGAAGGAGACTCTGAACCCTGGAAGGGCTGGCAGGAACCTGCTTTGTAAACAGAATCATAGTTTAAATGTATAAAGGGATTATCTGGAATTAAGAATCCAAGGTCAAGGTCTGCCCTGCCACTTACTACCAGTGTGATCTGTGGCAAACTACTTAGTCTTGCTGTGCTCAAATTCCTCTTCTATGAATTCATGCTATGGAGTGCTTCATAGGATAGTGGGGAGAATAAAATGGCATGAGGTGGGTGGCAGTGCTTTGTAAACTTTAAGCTCATACTGTGGCTGACTTTGTGGATACCTAAAGTATTCCAGTAGCCATTGCTTCAGTCAAGCCAAGAATGTTCACAGATGATCAAATTTGTGACAATTCCTGCACCAAGTTTGCTTAAAGTTGTGGACTCTGATGGGACGACAAACTCCTTAACGCCCAAGATAAAGTTTCCCCAGGAACACAAGTGGTTGGTGCCCTCCAATTTCCTACCATCCTCTGCCTAGGAAGCACACATACTCCTCAGCAAAGGCATGCTTAGGAATCTAAAAATGTCATACATACATACTTGAAGCCAAATGGCATCAAGCCAAGCCTGACTTGTGTTGACCCATTTATGTCAGAGTAGAACTGTGCTCTATAGGTTTTTAGTGGCTGGCTTTTCAGACACAGACCACTAGACCTTCCTTCTGAGGGTCTCTGGGTAGGCTTACACCTTTGACCCTTTGGTTAGCAGTCAAACACATTAACTATTTGCACCACCCAGGAGGTCTGGTAGTGGCTTTGTTGTAATCCCAAAGGCACGTGGTTCAAATCCACAAGTATGGGCAGTCTCGTCCCGTGCAGTTAACTGCCTCTGAAAACCCACTGGAAGATCAGCTCTGGGTCAATTCCAACTCAACAACAACAACCACATATACATATATAACAGATTTTCTTTTGACTTCTAAACCTACTCTCCAGGGATACCTCCCTTCTGTAGCAGGTCCAGACTGCAATAAAAGCAGTAGTTCAAGGCAGAACTTCGAAATCATCACACAGCTTCCAGAGTCCACCAAGCTGTCTTGCTGTGTGAGCTTCTGCAGATCCCTGAGCTTTAGATTCTTCATCTGGAAAATGGGAACAATAAGCTGTGCCTTCTGGGGCTTCTGTGAGAACTGAAGTACTGTGAAATGACCCTGAAATGAAGTACCCAAAATGACAGAGGATAAGGGGCTCCCAAAGGGACGATAGTGGGGCCTTCTAACTCTGCTGTCCTGCCATTTGGCTCCCTGGCTCACCCCCTGTCAGTCCCAGAGACCCTGCCTCCCCACTCTCAGTGCCACAGTGGTCCCCACCACCTCACGGGTCTCTCTTCTGTGTGCCCCCAACAGGAAGTGACTACTCTAGCAATGCCTACAGCCACACCCCCTACTCCTCCTACAGTGAGGCCTGGCGCTTCTCCAACTCCAGCTTGCTGAGTGAGTCACTTCAGGGCCACCCTGGCTCTTGGGGCAGGTTGTGTTATGTGGGTGGGCGGCCTCTTGGGGCAGGTTGAGTGTATGAGGGTGGGTCTTAAATCATCTGGAAAGCTCAGAGACCACAAGTTTGGTGAGATTCCAGAGGAGACGGGTGATGTCTATAGAGTCCAAGAAGGTAGAGCCTTGTGTCTGGTTGGGCCTGTGGCAGCCTCCCTCCAGTTCAAGGCTCTGTGAAATCTTTGTTCTGTCTAAGATTTGGGGCTCAAACCTTGAAGGGAGAGGAAAAGGGTAGACAGAGAAAAGTTGAAGAGAGGACTTCCTGGCTCAGAGGACTTTGGGTCTAAAAGCAGTAGATACATAGAGTCATTCCAGCTGCCCTTCTTCCTAAAAGGTTGCAGTCCTGTCACCATGTTCAGTATCTAAATGGCTCAGCACCAAAATCTTTACCCAAAAGTCCTTTGCTCCACCATGCATTCTGATAATTCCACAAGGTCAGCTACTTGGCTACCCTTAACCCCTCTCTCATACTGGGACACACCATTGACTAGAGAAGTTTCTTTGGGAAACTAAGCCCAGAAAGAGAGACTTAAAAGATCACGTTCACGTGATGGTCCTGGGGTCTCAGAGAGAACCTGAAACCAGAGAGAATTGTAGGTGCATGTGAGGCTGACCCGGGCTCTTTCTAGACAGCCTGTTGCCTAGATAAGCTCAACTCCAAACCACTTTTCTGTCCAGTGTAATTGGAAAGGGCGAGGCAGTGAGGTGTACTGGAGCCAGAGGGCATCTCCCTGCTGGGCCTCCTGGGTGTCCATCACTGGGCCTCACACTCTGCCACCCTTGCATCAGTCAGGATTCTTATCTCTGATGACCAGATCTCATCCTGCTTGTGCAAGTCTCTGGAGGATCTAGCTTGTCCCCTCAGCGTGTTTGGGTTCTGGGGTCCCACTGGTGTCTTCTCTTTCCCTGTTCTTGAGCTGAGGGTGTTGAAGGTCAAAGCAGTCATCGAGGAGAGGTGCAGAGAAGCAGTGTTCTCATTCTGGCCAGAGGTGAGACCAGGGAAAAAGGAAATAAGACTGGAGAGGAGTTAATCTTTGATGATCAGATAGGCCAGGGGATAAATTATTAACTTGTGCTGTCTTAAAGGTCAGCAGATGCAGGAGAAAGTTATGGTGCAATTTCCCCTTCTGACCAGCTATGTTGTTGTTATTTTTTTTTTTAACATGTCCAGGTCCCCCATATTATTACAGTTCCACATCAAGGCCAACTGCACCGCCCACCACCGCCACGGCCTTTGACCATCTGTAGTCGCCATGGGGACAGTGGGAGCGACAGAGCAACAGGAGGACTCAGCTTGGGACAGGCCCCAGAGAGTCACACAAAGGAATCTTTATTTATTACATGAAAAATAACCACAAGTCCAGCATTGCGTCTCACTCCCTATGTGAACCATGCAAGACACAATGACCTTGGAGAAGGCCGAACTGTCCTCCAGGGCTCCTTAACGAGAGGCAGAAGTCCCAGGGAAAGAGAACCATTCCATTCAGCAAGAGACAGTCAGCATTGGAGAGGCACTGTGGCCCCTGCTGGCTTCTTGCCAAAAGGAGAGAAGAGGGCACAGCTGAATGATCTTGAGGGATGGCAGGTGGGCCCACCTGGGTCTGAAGGTGACAGTGGTGGCTCCTAGCAGTGCCATCAACACAGCCATAGCAATTGCGGGCTGTATGCACTCTCATCTAACCCACAAGCCATAGCCTGGTTAAGTCACTCTTCCTTCAGCAGCCCTGACAGATCCCTCTCTCTACCCACTTGTCTACCATCTCTGTTCACCTTGCTTGGCTCTTCCCATGCCTTCCTCTTGGATATTAGCTGAGGCTGGGCCAAGTCAATCATAAATTCTACACCATTGCCAATGACCTTCTTCCGCCTGATGCTAGCAACGTGCAAACACCACCCCACATTCTCATCTAGTGTATCCTCCCTTTGGAAGCTGCCATCAGCTGGGCCAACTTCAAACAGCTTGAGACAGACATTCCAAAGGGTCTCTGACCCCTGGCATGATGTGGGGGTCATCTCTGCCCAAGGCAGTACATGGTGGAATTTCTGGGGGCTCCCCTCCCTTTTCTAATAGCATCTCCCAAGCCAGTGTGCTTCCTGCAGTCCATGTATCCTACATCTGCAGAGCCCCTGAGGCATTGCCCTCCAGGCTACCACAGAGCTCCTGAGGAACCAGCAGTGGAAATTCACTTTTGGATACCCCACAGCTCCTGTCCCCACACCTGGCTGTAAATACTGTAAATGAAGCTCTGTCCAGGACCAGCTTCACCCTGTCCATCCCCACAGTGAATTGTCTCCCTGCCATATCAGGCTTCTCTCCTTGATGCTTCTTTCCTTTTTTAAAGAAAACCTGCCATTGCCACCTGACTCAATAAACCATTATTCTTCATCTCTTTGCTTTCTCGCTAACCCTCTACCTTTGCTAGCACGATGTCTTTTTGCAAGAGAGGGAAAAGAGAGAATGACCCTCAACAAAGTGGATTGACACAGTGACTGGAAGAGCAAGCAGAGTGTGGCAGAGATTGTGAGGCTGGCACAGAATGGGACAAGGCTCCTATCTGTTGTTCACAGAGTTGCTGTGAGATGTAGTCAACTCAGTGGCATCTAAAAACAACTTCATCTCTAGCTTTGAGGTAGGCTAGAGGAGAGGGACACCATGCTTGGAAAGATGGGGGGGTCTGAGAAGGAAAGGAGGACTCCTAATGAGGTGGATTGACATGACTTCACTCACTGTCTTTAAAAATCTGAGTGTTTTAGGGATGGTGAGGATGGCATCGGATAGAGCAGAGTTCAGGGTGGCTGTTCATCAGGTCGCTCTGATGACACCAAAACCAACAGCAACAACAACAGAAAGGGAAGGAGACATCTCTTTGTTGGCTTCCTCCCAAGAACCTCAGAGCCAAATGCCCAAGTGTCGCACTGTGGGTTGATAAACCAATTGCCACCAAGTGGACTTGACTTATGGTGACCCCTTGTGTGTCAAGAGCAGAACTGTGCTCTTTTGGGTTTGTAATAGCCAAGTTTTCAGTAAGTTACTAGGACTTTCCTCCCAGGTTCCTCTGGATGAACACAGACTCCCAGCGTTCCGCTTAGCAGTGAGCATGGTGAGCGGTGCACCCAGGGACTCCTGTATGTGAAAGCTCAAAATTCACTGCTGTCAGCTTGGTTCTGACTCCCAGCAGCCTTCCGTCTGGTCTCCAAGGAGGAGAATATAAATCTCTGCAGGGGGAAATTTTTCTTAGAGCAGCTGGTGGATTCGAACTGCCAGCCTTTTGGTTAGCAGACTGATGTGTTATAGACTATGCCACCAGGACTAAAGGTACCCAAAAGCCCTGATTTAGCACTTGCTCCCTCCCACTTTAATAGATGGTTAGTGAGTGCTGGGTAAACTTCCAAGCCTTGGTTTCCTCAGCTCTAAGTAAATGTGTGATAAGATCAGCCAATCTCATAGTGCACTCCACCAATAATAATTGCCTTTGTTACCAACAGGAAACTAGAGGGTCAGCCAAGAAAATTGATTATGGAACTAAGAATAGCTATTAACTATTGTTGTTAGATAGTGTTGAGTCAGCTCCAACCCGTGTAACAACAGATCAAAACTACCTAGTACTAGGCCATCCTTGGTCTCTGCTGTGCGTGAGCTCATTGTTGCAATCAAATAACCAGTGCTTGAAGACATTTATGATAGACCTGGCACAGTATGGAGGGCTTTGCATAAGTTAAATTGAGAGCATGTTGAGAACACGGAGGCTCAGAAAAATGCAGTGACTTTCTAAAGTAGGAAGTAGTTGATTCAACCAAGTCCTCTTAGGCTAAGTCCAGCCCCTTTTCTCAGCACCATGGGTCCCTTATCAGGATACCAGACAGTCCTGGATCTGAGAGGTTTGGGGCTGTCAAAATATCTACTTCCTAAAGATGGAGCACGGCTGAGCAGTGGAGAAACACAGGGTGGCAGTGGGTAAAGGATGGGAAGGAGTCTGCAGGGGTACTGCCTGTGGGAGGATGCTGGGCACCCCGAGGGTTGCCTGGAGCTGCTTGAGTCCTCTACACATGAGAGGCAGCTGGTAGGAGGGGCAAGGGTCTGCAGCTCAGGTTGACCAGAGGTAGCTGGGCAGACAACAGTCAGGGCAGAGTCACATGAAGAGGATGCCGAACCCACCCAGGACTCCAAGGCTGGGGAGACAGGCAGGGAGATGGGGCCCCATGTTCTTTGTCCTCTCAAAGGAGAGACCAAGGTTGCTCACCAGGGATGGCATGAAAATGGCTGAGCCTTGAGGAACTCTCTGGAAGGAAGCCTGTTCCCCAACTCTTCTTAGTGCAACCCGAGTTGAGGTTTGTTTCCCTATAACGAGACGTCTGTGACTTTTAATCTCATTATATCTGAGTCTTGTCATGCTCTCAGGCCTCTTGCCTGCCTGATTCTGGGGCCCAGATGAACAGCACCACACACACACACACACACACACACACACACACACACACACACACACACACTGCTTGGCATCCTGTGAAGTGTACAGAACTAACATGAATGTACACAGTCACAGCCCTCCCTCCATGTGTGCCCCTGGAAGACTTGCTCCAACTCCTGAATAATCCCACAGTGGAAAACTCACCTTTCCTTCCCTGAGGTGAGCTGAGCTCCCCAGAATGCTCTGCTCGGTTGTGAGGATGGTTGGGGAGTGTGCAGCAGCCCCAAGTGCAGCAGACACCTGTACTCTCAGATATTTTATCTGCAGTCAGACCACAGGTTCCATCCTGAAGCTTGTCCTCCCTGCCCTTCTCCACACACCTTTGTGTGCAGCATGCCTTTGTGTGCTCCCTTACTTCTCCCACACTATCCCCAAAGCTGGGGCATTTCAAATTGTTTCACCCCATTACATGGATGACCAGAGAGGATATGCAGGAGGCTTGTGGAGGTCCAGCTGGAGGGAATGGGTGGGAAATAACCATGAGTAACTGAATGTTGAGAGAGGATGAAATACTGTACCTGACACATTCCAAAGACATCCAAGTCTACCCTCCCCTGTCTTGTACTCTGGGGCCTCACAGTACTGGAACAATCCCTTTAACTGTAAAGAGAGACTTCCATCTGATTACCAGGCAATCGGCTCTCCCGGTCTGTCATCCTCTCCCCTCCTTGCTCTCCAGCAAGTGGACAGCTGAGGGTGCAAAGAGGCCATAGGAGACCTGAGGCCAGGCAGTCACTGAAGGACAGAGGGGTTTCTGCTGGGACACAGAGCAGCTCCTGCCCTGCCTGAGGACCACTCAAACCATTCCCCAAACTCACTGCCTTAGACTTGATTCCATAGCTACCATACAGGACAAAGTATAGCCACTGGGCTTCTGAAGCTATAAATCTGAAGGGTAGACTGCCTCATTGTTCTCTCAGTGATTCAGACCACCTGTTTTGACTACCATTACAGCACTTAATGTAGAATGCTACCAGGGCTTCAAGGCTGGGAGAAACTCTAAATTGACTAATGTTGCTGGGACCCGCTGGCTTTGCCTGGAGATCTCACCACCTCAGAGGCCAGTCCCCAGGCTGCTCCCAGCTTCTCCCATTGTCGGCCTTACTCTACTGTCCTTGCTAGGGGGTTGTTGCTAACACACACACACACACACACACACACACCCAAACACACACATCCCAAAAAGCCATGTGCTGCCTATGCATTCAATATCCTCAGCTATCTCAGGAGGAATTTTATCTGTGACCACAGTCGGTAGATTAGAAAATACAAAGCCAGAGAGGCTGAGGAACTTAATAACATTTTCCCAAACTCACCTGCCCTGGTCATCCTCCTGACTCCTGCATATACCCCCCACCCACAAATTTTTCCTAAACGTATAGACATCCAGTTGTCATTGATTCGGTTTTACTCATGGTGGTCCCATATGTGATAAGGTAGAACTGTGCTCGACACTGTTTTCATAGTAGATGGCCGGATTTTTTCCCAAGGTGCCTATCTGTGTGCTGGCACATTAGCAGCTAAATATGTTAACCAAGGGACTCCCCATGAAAACATAAGTCCACTTTAAGGCAGCTACTGATGTCATTGGCCTTTGCAGGTGGGTGTAGAAGGGGGGCAGGAGGCCTCACCTCACACCCCTGGCCCATAGGTTTTTTGTTTTTAGCTTCAGCCCTGCTCAATCCTGGGCAGAAGAAAGACCCCTCCATTCTTCACTCACTGATAACCTCGCCGTCTCTCCCCTCTTCCAAACTTCTAATGACACTTCACATAAGCTTGGTTTTGGTTTGATTTTTTTTTTGGGGGGGGGTTACAAAATCTGTCACATCAGTTTTTGCCAGTGATTCTGAACATTGGCTCCATTGTGTAGCTGGGGAGACAGAGATTGAGACTTGGCTTTTTCAAGATC